CTATGCACGAGAGGAACGCTGGGGAGGGGATCACTCCCTTGGGGATCTCTACTCAGAAATGGGCAAATCTGCTATTTTCTAGATTTTTTTCAAGGCAGCTTGTTAAAATAACAAGATAAAGGCAACATGTCATGAAATGTGAAAGTTACAATGTGTTTAATTAGCCTAATGGCTAAAATTATCATGTCATAAAAAAACGCGCAATTTTCGTGAATGGTCAAGAACTCCTACAAATATTCGAAATTGGCAGCCATTATAAGCTCGGGTTTCTTTTCATAAAGCGAATATAGAATAAGGAGATAAGATTGCAAGCTGCAGGTCGCCGAGAGAGGAACCCAGCTTTTGAAGAAAATTCTTTCATCAAATGGAACGAAAGGCTTTGTAATATCTGATTGAAACCAAAGTATTCGCTCTCTGGCATGACCTACACCATCAAACCCCCACTCCATTCCAGGGGATGTCGTTCCCCTCCCCCGCGTCGTCGAGCTACATTCGTGCATACGGGGAGGGGGAAGGGAAGGGATCCCCACCGGGGTTCGTCCGATCCATACCTCGGAAATCAAGTACAGAATCTGAGGCAGCGAAAGAGTATCACACTGGTAAACGTTGGAAAAAACCACAAAAACTGCAAAAAGCTACATACTCACGAATTCTTTTGTAGGAAAAGTGCAGCCATAACATGATTGCGCCAATTCTAAACCTTTATATCTAAGGCATCCCTGGGCGATTAGTTTTGAGATTTAAAAGCAGCTGGGAAGTCGCACGCAAACACGATCAAGAGCCGCAATGTTTCGTAAGTTCAAATTTCTTTTGTGTCATACAGGTTTGAGAAGAGGTCTTTACTTCTTCCTATCAAGACCTTACGTTTTGATGCCTTTCGCCTTTCTCGGAGACTTGGTTCTAAGTGTCATCCGTAATTCCAGACCACCATCGTTTCCCTCAACTGTGCTAATTTTCGACCTTCTCACAATCTCTCTCCCAAATAAAATGTCAGCGTAGAGACATATCGGAAAACCACTGCTACTTGAATAGTATGCACCGGCGGCAGACGAGTGAACCATACCGTAGATACACTGAGATGATCTACAGTCAGGAATTACATAACGATACGAGCAGGAGGAAGTCACTAGTTATTGTTTAACACTCTCTGGTATTGTTTATCTCGGGGTTCGTGGTAGTAATCAAGAATGCTTCCGAAGCTTTTCAAGTCGAGATCTTTGATATGGTGGATATGCGAGAATTTTGCACTTGACATCGAAGTTTCCTCCACCGCGTCGAGCGTCTCAATGGCTGCCAAACGCCAAGCTGGAACTTTTGCGCTTTTTATCGGCCGAGTGTTCTTTCTTGCGAATACCCAAAACTCTACGCGTCTCTCCTCTGTAAATAGATTGCAACCAAGGCATTTGTATTGGATAAACGATTCACTTTCGCATAGTCCTTCACCCACCGTGCGGCCATACTATGCATTGCTCTGTTGTGCAGTATCGAAGCCTACTTCAGACTAACTGCTTTTTGAGACTGTTGTTACAGATGTCAACAAAACAACATTATCTTGTAGCTGCTCGAAAAATGCATCGTTGAAACGCCGCGGTTATCTTAAGATGAAGGGAAGGCAAGTGGGAGCTTGTTGGTACTACGAATGATTGTTCCTTCCTAGACTGTCGAGGACGAGATAAGTTAACCATCACTGCAAGTAGTGGTTACCATGGCTTATCTCGTCCTCGACATCTTGACGACATCTTGTCTTTCACTTGCATGTGAGGTTTTCTGGCCAAATTTAGATTAGGTTGTCCGGAAAATAATGACATCATCTCATTTCAAACCATATGGCGGCGGATTCAACACCAATAAGTGAATAGCCATTTGATAGAACAAAGCAACCTCTGCAAGATGTAGGTAAGATATGCGCATCAAGTTTACTTGCGTGGAGTTCTGAGAGAGTGTCTGAAAAGCTCTAACTGCCCGAAAAACCCGAAAGATTCGCATCCTCGTAGGAGAACATTCTAAGATTTTTCAACTTTCTCGTGCATATGCTCTCTATATAAGAAACTAGTTGGGTTTTCCCGGTCCAGCCCGGGCGAATGTTCACCTGCACTGCGAGCCCTTCCCCTTCTTATATGTCATAGATAACTTACAATGAGACAACCGCTTCGAAACCGAAAAAACAACTCCAGAGACTTTACATACTAAGCATTGCGGTTTGACATGCAAAGGAGAGATGAGTAGCATAATGACTTTCACAATGATGAGCTTTTTGTGTTGCTTTGCTGCAGATCGGTCACTCGCTTTGCTCACCACACTATCTGAAGCTGTTTTCGGATGTTAACATCTTCTATTTGGCAAGCTTGACTATGACTAAGTAAGTAGTATTTTACATTATGTGAATAGACATTCAAATTTTCTCGAAAATTTTTGATATGCCAAATAATTTAAGCGCGATCTTATGAAAAATCTTGACCTTTTCATTGTTCAGAGTGAAATGTGACGTAGAAAGCATTAAGTATAACCTTGAGGATGCCTTTGTACAGCACACTCGCTATAAAGCACTCTTAGTCACTTGCACATTAAGGTTGATCGCAGCATAAATGACGAAGAAAGCGTTGAGTATAATCCTGAGTACGCCTTTTCACAGCACACTCATTACAAAACACTCTTGGTCAATCGCAAGCTAAGTTAGACTGCAGCATAAAATATAGAGAGTATTCACTTGATTGAACGATTGAACTCACATCAAGAGCACTTCTCACTGCGCTTCGCTAACAGAAGTCCACAATGAAACATGCCGGTCTTGTTTACATACCTCTGCTTTGATAGCAGATGATAAGGATCATTTTCATTGCAAAGTGCTAGGAATCAATAAATCGATAGAGGGACCCAACGAATCGCCGCAAAAAGTAGCCTATCATCTGCGCCGGGGTCGAAAACCTAAGTGTACAAATTTTCAACTGAATCGGTTGAGCCGCGCGCGTTTCTATAGCGCACATAGCCTCCAAACTCACAAATTTGAGTTTTATATATATATAGATTGTATGCACAGTTTTGTAATTTCTATGCTGGAAATCAAAAACAAAGTGGGTTTTGCCAAAGAAGTTCTGAGCTTTCCTTAAGTAGCTGATATTATATAAGGGTTCCATAAGTTCGTAGCGTCTTTATTCTCGTCCTCGTTTTTTTGGAAGGCGGTTGATTTTGCGGCAAGATGCGCATATTTTTGGAAAAAGCGATCGTGTACTTTACAATGAACCTACTGATTTTGATGGAATGCTGATCCGCTTCGATTTTTCAGCTTCAGAAATGTGGAATGTTAAAACGACAAAAAGAAGCATTTTCGACATTTACTCATTTTTTCTCATAAAATAAGCGCTTTTGCTTGGATTTTTTTGCCAAATATAAAAATGGCGCTTTCCCGTCAATACGAGATAGGGAAGGCTGAGATTGTCACAAATCCAAGAATTTGCAGCGTGTCTATTGAACAAAGTTTTCAGGATGGGGAGGAGGAACAGCATACCGCATGCAATCCAATCGCACCGTCTAAACGACTTTCTACCGCAAAAATGTCTTAAAAGACAGGTCCAGTGAATTTTTCTGCATGACAAAGTATGGCTCCGTACGGCAAACCTCTCAAAATTATCTTGTAAGACTTGACTGGTAGACATATTTGTATCCGATATACTCCACAGAAGTCACCTCATCAGATAATCTTTTGTCCTCTTTTGTAAACCGTATGAACGGTGCTTGTTCAGATTTAAAGAGCATTTTAGGCGTTGGTTAGAAGATTTTTTTAGGATCAGACCTGCTGAGTTTTGAGAAACGAAGTTGAAAATCTGAGGACAAAGGGACAGAAGGTTGCGCGCAGCAGCCGAAAGTACTTAGAGATAAATTTCACAGTTATAAAACGCTACAAACTTATGGAACGACTTAGTAATATGAACCTTTAATGTAGCCATGAATTTTCAGCTTTGAATAAATGCTACTTTTCAAGAAATATCGTTATTTGCTTTGTACCTCTGTATCTTCCTGCGTAAACTTCCGAAAACACCAATGGAGGCTGTTGCGCATCTCGCACACAGCTATAAGCGTGCGATCCTACTATGACTCTGCGCCTTGATGTTGTCTTGGCGGGTCCGGCGTATATACAGTCGAGTAGATTTAGCGGTAAATATAGTGTGCTTGCACAGAAGGTGAAATGCGGTGAAATTTGCGCGTGAACAAGTAGCCATGTCAGTACCGCGGGTATTTTGCGCGCGCAATTGGCCGGCATCACAGTCGGAACTATTTCTTCACGCGCCAATTTTACCGCATTTCACCTTCTGTGCAAGCACACTATATTTACCGCTAAATCTACTCGACTGTACATATGATGGAAGGGCCTCGGGAAATTCGCGTTTCTAACATTTCGCACTCTCCAAGTATTTTATAGCGGAAAGGAAGACCAGATAAGCAAGAGTTTTTTACGTTTCTCTTTGGAGCTTCTAAAGAACCAAAGACCAAAAATACAGTAGCGATTAGAAAGATTTGCAGAAAATTGAAAAATCATTAACATTTGGTATGTATATTAGATCCGGCCTGTTCAGAAATATATCATCTGTTATCTCCTAACCGATTCAGAAGCAAGGTTTGCTTCGAATCGGTCAGAGAATTGAACTTTTCACTCGAAATTTACAACTTACGCGTAACTGGCAAGCACATAGCAGAAACTTTATACATAAATCGATGAACTAAAAAATACTAGCAAATTAACAAAAAATGTTAAAAAAACTGTTAACTGTTAAAAATGTTAACTTTTCTTTAACATTTGATTTTACCTAGATTATGCGTCCATTTTTTGCACCAAGAAAATATTCATAACTCTGCATGCAGAGGCGCTCAGCGGATAATGAAATTGGATTTCCAGTAAACGTTTGATCCTCTTCAAAGTGGTGTAAGATTTATTTGAAAAAGCCACTTCGACTAATTGGACCACCCTTGTTAGTGGAGTTTATCACAGAATTGCTTCCATCCTTTCAGCTTCCTGTGCTCAACGGAGCAACATGTCTGGCGTTAACGGTTGAGACATGGATCTGTAAAAACCAATCACGAATTCTGTTGTAATTACTGATTGTCAGAAGATGTTAAGGTCATTTGGACGGCTCCCATTTCAGCTCTCGGATACAACAAAAAGAGTTTTATTTGTAGTAATATCTTGAAGCAATGGGAAGTTTTCAATTTCATTCTAGCAGTTGGCTTACCTGAATGTGGCACCTTGCTGTATTTATTACTTTTCTTCTTACTTCACCGTTAAAAACGAAATACGTCCACGGATGTAGACACGATAGACTGATATTCACTATCAAGTACATTCGCTCTTGTAACGGATAAGCAATCTCCTATGAAGAGACAATGTTACTTCAGCGTAAGAACCAAAGTCAGTGAACTTACCCAAGAGAGGCAGCTTATGCCGGCGTGGATACCACAAAAAAGCGGAAGGGCAAGCACTAGGCCACTAAATTGAACGGTAAGTCGAATGGCTTGCCGTCTCCTCCTGGAGAAGAAGCACATATGGTCTTTTCAAACACCAGAAATGAAACAAAGTATCTTGAGCATTACAAGAAATCGTCCAAAACTTTACCAAGGTACACATTGACTGACGTAAACAATCAGGAAGGTGTAGCATAGCGTCGAGATAAGCGCACTTAGCATAGCACATCCAAGTGCCGTTACATTTGCGGGCTAGAAGTGAGGAATGTCATTTTATGAGGAATACATCTGCACATTTGAAATTTTTTTCCAGAAGAGCGTCTCGCACCTATGCGTCATAAGTGTATAATTTTTGCTACAAGCACGCATGAATTTCTCAAGTAACTTCTTCAGTTTCTATGATTATTGCCTTTTAAAAATGCAAACGTCACATATTTACATAGCAGACGCATTTTAAATTTTTGAGCCAATTCGTGGTACTTGAAGCCCCAGAAAAAGTGTAAATAGGCTGGATTTGGCTGGCCTGTATCGAAGCATGCCTTCCTATGCTGTCACGCCGTAAACTACCAGAAATTGTCACTTTGACAATTTTCCAAAATTGGCTTTGCTATAATAATGTGTAGTCTGCAATGATAATAAGGTGCAAGTGAAAACAATTTACGGATGTGTTCAATCGCCTTCAGAATGGCGTTTATTAATAAGTACGTGGAAATCAAAAGTGAGCACTGAAGAGGAGTAAGGGGGGGGGGATTAAGGGGTCGGGTCCATACAAGGGAATGCTTCATCGAAGTGGCGTTTCCCTATGAAATGTATCTTATAGAGCATGCAACGCCAATTCCAAATCTCCCTTCCTTATCTGTAAAGCTTATGAGAGGGAGGTAACGAAAATTTTTCATGCAAAAATTTGAAAGCACGGCTACAATGGAATTATTCAGAATTTTGGTCCATGAGCTCAAATGAGGCCATGATTACTATCAAGGGCTTTTACGCAATAAATACCTTCAATTTAATAAATACATAGCAGCCATTACTTTTTCCAAGCGCCGAAAAGATCTCACTTGTTTTTACCGTAGCCAGATCATTGAGTTTTTACCTAAAAAATTCCCAGAACTCTCCTTCCAGAGGCGCTTTGTAGATAAGGAAGGCAGATTTGGAATCAGCGTTTTATGCTTTATAAGACACTAGCTGGCTTACCCGGCTCCGCCGTATGTTCCGAATAGAAAATTCCATTTCTTAACCGATCCGGACCAAACTTGGCACACATACACTTCGGGCCCCGGTGGGTGTCACAGTCCACTTTTCGTTATCGATCGATGTCGATTTTATCGATTTTTTGCAAAATTTGAGCTAGGGGGCTGAAATTTGGCAGAGGGGTGTAACCGAGCATGCTGATCACCCCCACGGGGGTGATCAGCATGCTCGATTACCCCCCTGTGCCAACTCCCAGCCCCGTAGCTCAAATTTTGCAAAAAATCGATAAAATCGATATCGATCGATGACGAAAAGTAGACTGTGACACCCACCGGGGCCCGAAATGTATGTGTGCCAAGTTTGGTCCGGATCGGTTAAGAAATGGAATTTTCTATTCGGAACATACGTGCAGACATACAGACAGACAGACAGACATACAGACAGACAGACAGACAAACAGACAGACAGACAGACAAACAGACATTCAGCTTTATATATAAGATAACGTTTCATATGAATGCGCTACTTCCACCAAGTATGTATCCTCCCCTTGTTAGACACCCTCGCTCTTGATTCCAGATATAAAGTGCAAGTTTCCGTATAACAAAAACAGAACGTAACTTAAGTTAAGATATTGTTTGATTAGCAGATCCGGTGAAATGTTTTAGAGAGAAATTTATCACTTTGACCACGTTATGTAAGCGCCTCGCAATCAGTTTTATGAACTATAACCAGCTAAGAGAAGAAACAAGGCAAAGTCTGGTACCTGAAGATGATCTTGACTTGATAAGATTGCCAAGTTCTCCTGCGAGTCGAAATGTATATAAAATAACGTCAACGAAGATAGGGCCATAAAGGGGATTATAGTCATGAAGGCAAGGCCCCAGTGCGCACATACCAAGGCATAACAAGGAATTTTTTCCATAAGCTGCAAATACATAGGTGTGAAGATTCAAGCACATAATCATTTTTGAGAATGATTTCCAAAGAGAGCTATCTGGATATATGTTGCTGAGCCTAGGTCTTGTTTGAACTTTCAAAACAATACGTTTTCGGACCTGTTTTCCCAAAAAAAGAATTGCTTCCCTTGTACTAAAACTTATATGACTTTACATGACGGGGTGTCAACCTCCTCCCACAATCCGTTTTGGGTTGTTTTGCTTTCATAAAAGATCTGAATAACTTTTGAGTCATTTCGAAGGTTCAGCTCTTCGAAAATTCGAAAACACATTTTTTTCTCGAAAATGATTTCGAGAAAAAAATGTGTCAAACTGAGTCTAAACGTATTGATTTTTATGGTAACACGAGGCAAGGAGACAGCCACGGTTGGATCCATGAAAAAAAGTTTTGTAGGCTAAAGCACGTATTTCGTGAGAACATTTTGAAAGAATAGGTTTTGATAACCAAAAAGTGTCGTGTTTGCTTCCTCGGAGAGTGTGCTTCAAGTGTACCAAGGAAAGGCGGAAAATTAAAACTTTCAAACAAAAATAAGCTTCAGAGATGTCATTTTGATGCAGAAATATTATTCTTTTCGCAAGTTTTCGCTTTGACATGCTCTAACATTCTGGTAAATCCACATTTTTGAAAGCGATAAAAACTTTCAATTTAGTAGAAAGTTAAAAAAGAAAATTATGAATACTTCGCTTATTAATTCAAACGGCCAAATTTTCTCGAGATGCTGCGATAATCTGAAAAGTTGATGTAAATTTACGCTGCTTCAAATCAAAAATTCGTCCTGAATGAGCTTATATGTAGAGAATCATGGTTCTGGGCCACAGCAATTGAAAAATTGTTTCTGGCCCGTTGCTCAATATGGAAACACTTTATGAAGATTCGACTTTGTAGAAGAACTGTGTCAGAATTGTATGGCTGCTTCAGTGTTCATAGCAACTCAATTTTTCGCTGCTGTGGCAGAAGCAAACAGGGTCTCTTCTTCTCCTTTCGTCTTCGTTTTTATAGCAATGGTAAAATATTAGTATAAAACGCAAAATCTCGTCTTCTAGCAAATTAAAGCAAGCAGATTCGTATCAGAATTACCTTTTGAAAATAGTGTTATGGAACTTTGAGAACAATCTTAATTATTACGGTCAATGATAGGAATCAATTTTATCGGTCCTCGTATTATCACAAATACTTACTACTTACCGCTCCAATCTTTGTTCCTGCTTTACATATTGTTACATATCGTTGAATAGAAATTAGCGCGATGCCAACGCATCTGAGGTTAAGATTGTAGTAACACAGTGGGATCATAGTATAGACTAGGATATGGCGATTTTCCCAGAAAAACTTGTTGGCTATTCCGAGGGTACGGAACCATCCGAAGAAGTCGCATGTGAAAAGTGAAAGTACGTCAGCTACTCCCTAAAAAACAGCAAATGAGAATGTTAAGTTTGAATTTTTCGGAGTGGTAGTAATTTGGTCTGATCATCTTTACTAAGTTTTCATCACACATGTGAACAGTAGCTTTACATTGTTTTCTCGATGAAACCACAAGGTAACCAATCAGAAGCGAAGAAGTTGAACATTTTTCACTCGATTTTAGATTAAGCAAAGCGATGTCATTGAAGGAGACCGACCGTCCAATCATTCTCGTGCTTGACCGCCTTCATTGCACTTTATCAAATTTGCAGTTCGATCTTCAGCCTTGCATCTTCCCATAGCTTTATCTAAGCTGTAAACAAGTAAGCTTTCTTACAGTAAGTTGCAGAATGATCTCCCTCACTCTTCTTAACTTGTAAAACCAACACGTCATTGTTTCAAACGGAAAAGCGGTCAGGGGTACTTTTTCATTTTTAACAACGATGTGATGGTTTACGACTGCGTTTCATCAAAAAAAGTGTCATTTTCCTTACTCTATTTGATAGCAAAACAGTGATATTAACCAGTCGGAAACTTCGTAGTTTGGTTGAGAACGAAATAAGGATGAAACAAGTATAATTTTCCAAAAGTTACTTTTGTTTCATGATTTTGTATAAGCGACTGAAACAATGGCCGTAAGAAGAAGATCATGTTCACCACGATGTAATCATGATTAAACCATCACATCACTCGTTGGTTTCGACCATATTACTACCACTTCTGCTTTTACTAGTGTCAGGACTCCTTTAGGATTCCTAAGGGAGCCCTGACATTTAGGATCCTCCCAACTGCCAATTCACTTTTGTTCTCCATTTAATCAAATTCAGGAGGTATAATTCTCACCGCTTAACCTCACTACCGTCTATACAATCTGAAACATGCTAAAATCTATGAAGAAAGATGGATTTAGTGGGTGATATGGTTTACCCATGATCGAGATCACATCTGGATCGAACAAGGTTGGAATCAGTACTTACAGTGATACAGGCAGCACGGCTAACAAGACACGAAAGTGATCACAGTCTCCATGTACACCTGATTCTATTTGACCCGGTTGCCATTCGAATTATGGTCAACTTTGTACTAATTCATAGAATAGGTCCCGAAAATTCTTGATCTAGGACCATATATTAGGTTGGCACGAAAGTTCTTGCGTAATTCAAACAAAATTCAATAACTTTTCAAAGACTAAACCCAAATTCACAATCTTGTATGCTAAAAATATTAGGAGTCTTACGCTTCATGATGGATGTTTAAGCATAAGATTCCGTGAGCTGGACATCAAGAACAAAGCTCTCGAATATGGGGCTTCAAATTTTGCGATTTTGAGTTTGGTGCCAGAAAATCGCAGAGTGCCGCTAGCTAGCCGAAAAAAATCTGTAGAATTTACTAACACAGAAAAGTCCACACGTTGTTTTAGCAGGTTTTGATCTCGCATGGAAACGCAAAAACAAAAAGTTTGTGAAAATTCTCATTTCACAGGACAAATCCCCTTATCACTCTAACTTTTCCACAGAAACACAGTTTGCAACCAGAAATTAGACATAGTGCCTATTTAGAGCCTTGCGACGTTTTCTCGGTTGTAAAAAAGTGTTTTCGCCGGAAAACTGCGGACATGAGGGGATTTTCTCCGCAAAATGACTTATTTCACGAATTTTTTTGTTTTGCTC